AAAAAAAAAAAAAAACTTCCCCCTTTACAAGTAGCATTTTTACAACAAATGAATATACCACTGAAAAACTAGGGCTATATGTTTTTGTCAGCGAGAGAACAAAAAATACCCCAGTCTTACCCAGAGGACATGGTACCAGACTGAAGTTCCACCGAAGTCAATGTGGAAATCGGTATAGCTGTCTTGAACTCCCATTAAGCAATATTTCTGAACAAATGGCTTGGGAAAGACTGAATCATCTGGCCAATAATTTTCCACCCAGGAAAGTTTTTTGGCTATATCCGGGACTTCCACCAATTCAGACATCCTTTTTTGAAAAACAAACATACACATATACACACACATTCACATCATGAGATTTAAAAATTCTTAAAAATTTCTTCTCCCATCTACACCCAAACCAAGTAATTAAATGGAACTTAAGGTTAACAACAACACTTAAAAGTTTAAAACACATCTTTTCTTTTCTTTTTTTTATTGAGACAGAGTCTTGCTCTGTCACCCAGGCAGGAATGCAGTGGTGTGATCTCAACTTGCTGCCACCACCATCCGTTCTGCCAGGGTCAAGTGATTCTTGTGCCTCAGCTTCCCTGAGTAGCTGGGATTACAGGCGTGTGCCACCACACCCAGTTGATTTTTGTTTTTTTTAGTAGAGGGAGGGTTATGCCATGTTGACCAGTCTGGTTTTCAACTCCTGGCCTCAAGTGATCCACCCACCTTGGCCTCCCTCAAAGTGCTGTGATTACAGGCACTTTGTGAGCCACCAAGCCCAGCCAAAAGCTTAAAATACATCTTATTTCTAAATACCTCTAAGCATCCCAATGTAAAATTTATAACATTGTTACCACTGGACAACTTTAGAAGTTACAACTATGTTTCTTCCTAAAATAAATACATCATTAAACTACATTTAGCTAACACTCAGAATGCAAAACCAAAATGCCCAGAACTACTCACTTTGTATCTGAAAATTCAAGGCTGATCACATTTAACACTTTTGGTCTGTTAGGATTCATGAAGTATTTAACATAATTGTGAAGTGTCATTTTGCTGTCTGCCTGCCTTGCCACATCAATGACATCTATCACTTTGTCACCACCTGCAGAGAAAAATTAGTCTTATTATTGGACTTCAGAGTTATATCAGCAGATGCTCTAATCAAAAATATTTTAACTTGGTATGATAATTAAACCAACTATAAAACTATGCAGCCTAGACAAAGATTTTTCCTATACTCTTAATTTCAAAAGTTCAACTGGACCTTTCAGGAAAACAGACAATTTTTCAGAGGAAGAGGAAAGCAGTAAGACAAGGCTGCATAATTTACACTGAACATATAAATGATTTGGCTTACAAAGCTTTCTGTATACCAGTGATATCTTGGCGTGTAGCTTATAATGACAAAAAATACATTATATTGGTATGTAGAAATTGTGCAACATTTTCTGGATTTCAGTTTTCTCGGGCATAAAATGAGGGGACTGACTGTTCCCTTTCACTTTTATAGCACCTAAAATATTCAAAGTCTACCATTTAAAAAAAAAAAAAAAAAACCAGACCACTCATTGGGGAATTAGCATGCAATTTGGCCAGGATAATTTCTGTCCTCCTGATATTGTCTTCTAATATTCTCCTTCAAGAAAAAATTAGTAGTTAGGAAGCAAAAATCAGTTCACATTAGTGCCAGTGTCTGAAAGCCTGAGTTCCAAATTGTGATTAATTTACATTTTTCATATAAACCCATGAGGTGATGTTCACAGACCACAGCATTGCCACACTAGGAAGCATAATTCATTTCACAATGGACTATGGGATAAGGTAGAATTCAAAATATGACAATACTTAATCTGAAATAGAAAACAAAATGTCATTTTCTTTCTTTAATGCAACTTCATATAGGTTAAGAAAGTCTTGCTTTGTAGACTTCTTTATCTTCAGAAAGTAACACAAATTCTGTTAATGGTATTAAAGTGCTTTGCAGTACTAAAAAGTTAGCTATCAAGCAGTTTGAGCATTTTTTTTCTGCACATGTATCACACTAGCTATTTGTTTTGTAATTACCATCTATGCAAACAGGTTGAGGTAAAGCCTTAGCCTCATCCTCTAATTTATCAAATATTCAAATATAGTTGAATACGAAGTTATGACATTTAGAATTCCTCAGTGAAACAATAATCAATGAGAATTGTCAACCAATAGCTCGATAAAGGGACAAGTTCTCAGATATTCCATGCTGAGGAGATAATGTAGTAAATATACAATTTTGAGTCAAAATAAATTTGGAATCTAATCTCAAATATTCTCTATTTACTGCTGACGAGGAATGACACCTACATATAGTCAGCTTTATCTGTAAATATCATGAAAATGAAATGACTGAAAATGTCAACAACATGGCAAGAGGTAAAGGGTTTCCCCCCTTATTTCTCAGGTCTTTCTGTCTTTTTGGTGAATCTGCAAAATCACAAATTAAGACCAGACATCATTAAATAGCATATTCACCTAGTCATTACTCTAAAACAGGTTTGAAAATGTTTTACCACCTTTCCTCTAAGCAGCAGCAGGTCACAAAGCAGACTCCAGAGAACTAACTGTGCAGCTGGTATACTGGGATCTGGAAATTTTGCACCTGTATTCTACCAAACCAACCAATCCAATTTTCCAGTATCTTCCTTCCTGGTATCTATATCTATCCCTCAGTAATGATTTTCCCTAAGCAAGTATCAGAAAATGTAATGGCCCAAAAGAAAGCAGCAGGATGAAGCTGAGTAAATAAGAACAGGCAAAATGTGTCATTCTGTTTTTCTGAGCAGGAAACTAAACTAAATTGACATTTCTTCATTTAACCTTTAATATTACGAGGACTATCATTTTTACTTTTACCATGTTTTCCGAGGTACTTAAAGAAATTAAGTTCATACCTACATAACGTTCCACATCCATCACAGAAAATGTAGGTGGAGGGAGCCTGAGTCCCAGATCATCTAATTTTGGAACCATAATAGGGACATCAAATCCATGTTTCTCCAGATATCTTTGTGTCAGCTGGCTGCCATGCATCTTTACAATTATTTCATCGGCACTTAGGAAAAACATAAAGAATAAAAATGTCATTTTTATTGGTGAGTTCAGTTTTTAAAACATACTGTTGGTGACGGGTTAATTCATATACTGGATCATGCTGTATCAGTGGCTCTTAAACTATCATATCTCTTTCTTCTTCCAATGACAAATGTTTTGTTAATCTCCTTTTGCTATCCTAAACAAGAATTTATAGATAATGTAGTGTACATAATTCAATACATATAATTAGAAAAATATATAAAGTGCTCTAAATGCAAAAAGAAAAAAACCAACCTTGTTTGTAGTGAAGTATGTACAAGTTGAGTATCTCTAATTTCAAAAATACAAACTCTAAAATGCTCAAAAATCCGAAAAAATTTGAACAATGATATGGTGCTCAAAGTGCTCATTGGAGCATTTCAGATTTTCAGATTAGGGATGCTCAGCTGCTAGGGATAACGCAAATAAAAAAAAAAAAAAAAATCTGAAATTGTTTCTGAAACACTTCTGGTCCTTGGCATTTTGGATAAGGGACACTCAACCTGTATTTCAGTGTGTTAACTACACCAGAAGACATAATAAAATAATAGGATGCTTAAAACTAGTTGTAATGAATGGTTAGATCTAAGTGAACTAGAAACATCAGAAGCCACTTGATACAAACTGCACAGGAATTTTGGAGAGCAAAAAAAGGTAGAGTGTGCATTCATTAGACTAAAAACTAGTCAAGCCAAGTACGGTGACTCACGCCTATAATTCCCAACACTTTGGGAGGCCAAGGTGAATGGATCACCTGAGGTCAGGAGTTCAAGACCAGTCTGACCAACATGGTGAAACCCTGTCTCTACTAAAAATACAAAAATTAGCTGGGCATGGTGGTGGGTGCCTTTAATCCCAGCTACTTGGGGAGGCTGAGGCAGGACAATTGCTTGGACTGGGGAGGCGGAGGTTGCAGTGAGCCAAGATCACACCATTGCACTCCAGCTGAACAACAAGGGCAAAACTCCATCTCAAAATAAAATAAAATAAAATAAAAACTTGTCAGATTTTATCTGACTATAACATTCTATACAACTATCTCAAGTCTGATGGAACACAGAACAATTAATTCTTGTTCTGCATATTGGAACATGACTAGCATCCCTGGTCCCTCCCCACCGAGACAAGTGTCCACAATGCTCCCATTGACAACTACTGATTTAAATGACCTGTTACAACCAGTTATTTAATAAGTCTTAATATCAGGTAGTGACTTTAAGCCAAGAAGGGTTGGACTTCCAGCTGCCCTCTCTAATGATCAACACTTATATGCATTACATTAACTTAAGTGAGGTTTGTCCCTTGCCTACCAGATCTCTTCCAATGGGACATTCTAGATTTTATCTTCCAATTGCTCGAAGGATACGGCTGCTATACATTCAAAATTAAGTGCATCACTTGCCTTAAAGGTTAAAACACAATAGTCTCCACTTACACAATCAGATCTTAACTGTAGGATGTCATCTGCTGCCTAGGTGGCAAGAAGACAGGAGAAAAAGGAGATGCTGGTTTTCTGAATTACTGGACTCCGATCTCCCAATCCTCTCAATAAGGCAAGGGCAAGTCTGAGGCCTAAGAAAACTGAGAGTCCTTTCCTAGATAGTCTTTTAAGTGGATGGCTTAGATCTTCTTCATTTGACTCATCTACTAAACTAGAACTCTGTATTACCTTTTAGTTTCCCCAGTAAGCATCCAAAATTGTCCCTCCTTCCCCCAACCTCTGAGGATTAAATAATTCCTTCAACATCTAAGGGAGAACTTTAAATAACGTTTATTCCCTGATCTCAAATGTTTGGTGTTTTACTTCCCCTTTTGATCAAACATATATAATGACAAGTGTTTAAAATATAGGTACAACATTTTTTGCAGGAGGAAAAACTGGAGACAAACTAAACATGTATCATGTGGGGATGGTTAAGCAAATTATAGTATCTACAGATTACTGCATACTATACAGCATTTAGGGAGTGAGGTAAATCATGCATACATATGGAAGGATATCTATGAACTATAATAAAGAAGGCAAATTGTACACTATGCATAACACTATTTTATTTTAAAATTATATATATCCATACATCCATATACATAAATGTTTTAATGTTTTTATGTAGAAAAGGGTCTCAAAAAACTTATACTAAGTCTTAAAATTCACTTTGTTGTATAGACTTCTATGTTAATCGTATCAAGTATGTGTAATTTAGTAATTATTGTTACTGTACTATGGTTTTAAATGTTGCAAAGGTTTATGGCGTTAAAACCCAAACATCCTGAACTAATGGTAATTACATTTTGGACATATGCGATCATCCCTATAACCTGTTCTCATTTGTGGTCACTGGCAGTAAAGTCACATAAATTATTAGGCCAGTGTTTTTAACACTACATTTTTGTGTCAGAAACCTATTTGAGAAGAAAAAAAGAAAGAAAGAAAGCTATAGCTCCTCTCCCTGAGAAGTGCACACTCCCAACTGACATGAAATTATACATACCACTTTAGGGAGCTCACAAACCTGTCTTACTTAGGCCCACCAATGGAACCAAACTGAAAACTTTGGACCTAAGTGCCAAACCAATCAAGCATAAGACAATAAAAAAGAAAACAAACAAGCAAACATTTCTACTACTTGGAAACTGATTAAAAAAAAAATATATATATATATATATTTTTAAGAATAGGGTATTTAACATCACAAAAATCATGTGGAAACACTACATTTTAAATATGTGTTCTTTCTGTCTCTTGACAGACCTGAGGGAGCCAACAGTAGATGCTTATCATTGTATGTTTCTGTGTAAGGCACAGGGGCTAAAGAGGAATTCTAAAGACTGAGGAGAAATAGCAGGGGTTTTATCATTTCAGGATCTGAAATAATTTCATAATAAGCTGCATGTGATACTGTGATTTAAATTTAAATTGAGCTTCCCCTCTTTAACAAGCCTGGCTATGATCTTGTGTAAAAGCCTATTAAGCATTATCACTTTAAATAGATGTCAGGCAGTGAGTAGGAAATGATCTAAATTAGCATGATTAAATGCTTTATTATGCTTTCGGCTGTCTTTGAGCAAGACAATTCAAATATATTCCATTATTTTTAAAAACTAAAAAAGCCCAGTCTTGCAGTGGTTGTATGTGTTTCTGGTGGACCTAGGGCAGAGATGCATATAAAAGCAATGAAGAAAAAAAGAGTTGGGAAACAGGAGAAGGTGAGGCAAAAGAAAAAAATAGGCAGCAGCTGCATATCATAAGGAACTAAGTGCTGGGAACAACTCCCTTAGATTAGTGTATTTCAAACTTTTTGGACCGTGACTCACACTTAAACGTTTTTTACAGGGTGACCCAGTGTGCACATACACATAACGAAAGTTCCATGAAAATATGCTTACTTAATCCTGCTACTTGGAATGAACTGATACTTTTCTGTTTCATTAAGGAAGAAAAAATGGTAAAAAGCTGGCTGAGGACAATAATGGGGTGCAGCCTAAGTTTGAAAACGTTGCCTTTAGGTAATGTCACTGTATCAGATGACATTCTTACATTTTCTTTTATCGGAGTAAGTTTCCATACCTTGGGAAGACTCGAGAACGTAATTCCTTAATGAAAGTTCTAGTTCCAGCTTGCACAGGTTTGGAACCATCATCAATTTCTGTGTAGTCATGCCTGTGCCAGTTCCTCCTCTTCTTCACTGGATTTTTAGAAGATTAAAAAAAGAAAATGATTTTGGTAACTCGTGATACTATGTGCTTTATAATCATTATGTTTGACAAAATCAGCAATAACAATTCTAAGTACATTAAAAACACTCAAGTTTTTAATGCAGTTCGAGGCCCGAGAATTTTGCTTAATGTAATGCTGCAATTACAGACAATTAACTGTGGATTAAAACCTACTCTCTTTATTTCAAAATATTTAAAATTAAATCAAGGAGTTCAAATCAGCAGTGAAGCCTTTTATAATGTCTACACTTATAGATAGTATACAATTTCCAAATTATATGCAATTATGATTTTCATCAGAATATTAGGTCCTAATATGATTATCCAGACCATCCAAATGGTCTTCTCAGGACAGGGCCTTTTATCTCACATAAGAAATCTATTCTAATAGCATAATTCCTTCTTTCTTTTTTTTTTTTTTTTT